ATAGAACTTTGTAGAACCTGCATCTGGTGAAATACATTATGTGATTTTATACCAAGATCTACACATATTCATGTTTGTATGGGCTTAGTTAATAATTATTTATTTTAAATTTACGATTTAAAGCCACATCATATATTTTACTGGGTATAGAATCTCATAAGCCGATAGGATGGTCAACTGCTCGTGGGAACTCAAAAGTGTTAAAAAGTCTACTTCAACGGTTTGATACTGTTCACATTACTAAATTTGTCTTTGTGCAGATTTTTGGATTTACTTGGATTTTAAATTTTTATCAACACTTCATCTTAATACAAACCTTTTTGTCCTAAAATCTTAAATTTCAGAATCACAAAATTTGCATAAAAGATGCTTTCCATTTGCAATTGACATGATGATATTTAAAAAAAACTAAAATAAATAAATAAATAGGTATGAATTATGCACCAAACTAACCTCCAACACTAGTTTATGTTCCGAAAATTTACATAATAATCATTAAAAAAAAAAGGCGGACAGCTAACGTTAGATATCAGTGCATTATCTGGTTCATCGTTTTCTTTTTTTGATTTTTGATTTTTTTTTTCTTCCAACTAATAAATGATATGAACATTATTGCCATCTACTGCTCATCCTTCCAAAAAGACGACATTTCTGAAGAATAACGTTAAGACGTAATAAAAGCTTGAAAACCTGATTTCGATTGAGACTAAGTAGTTAAGAATAGTCAATCAGCATCTTGGCTCCTGCTTCAATGGTGTCACGTTTGATGCGCTAAACATCATGGGCTGCAAAAAAATAACAAAAATGGAATAATTCGACATTAAGAATGGATTACGGATCATGATAAAAATAGATAATAACTTAAGATCTGGTGTAACATCACCAAACAAGGAGTGCAAAACAATTTGTCGTTCGTTTTTTGCAGGGTAAGAGATAGATTAAATCATAATTAACTAGCTGCAGCATTTGCAGCACGGGATTTCATTGTCCTCGATTTTAAAATTTATCTGCTACTCCATTTAATTCATATGTGCTCTTCGTTTTTCCTCTTATCTTTCAGTTGTTGGTGTCCAATTCTTAAGGCTCTAACGGAAAAATAAGTTCATTCACGAACTTTTAAAAGAATTCCGGTTTCTCTTCAATATGAGAACACAATTATGTTACCGAAAAGAAACTAATAATCTGAAAATTTTCAAAGTGCGTGTATTTTAATTTTTAACAAAAATTGCAACAGCACGGTACCTGAAACGAGAGTGGAAATACTACTAGCAAGTTCCTC